AAAGCATTGATTAGTATTTAATTTTTGTGGCTTTAGGGCTTTCAGAAAAAAGTAATTTTTTTCATCAGTGTATTTGTGATGAAAAAAGTAATGGAGTATGACTCTGGAACATGTAAGCAGCTGGAAACAAGTGTGTTCTGACTGGTGTATAGGAAGGTTTGTTTAGTCCTGAGTTAGATGACAGTATTTTATTATTTCAGATAAGTATTTGTAGAATGGGTTTTTAAACACTTCAGTAATGAGTTGCAATACAGTTGTGTGATAGGAATTGCTTTCAGCAAAATTAAACAGTATACAGTTTTGAGTGTGGATTATTAACATTATTTAAATTAACATTTTTAAAACTAACAAGTTATATAGAAGTCTTCTACAAGTGACCCTGACTAAATTCTTCAATCTATGATGTTTAGTTCTGTTTAGCCCTTTCATAATTTGCAAAGAGGTTGATATTTTTTGTGACCCATTGCTTAACACAGATTGGTTTTGATAATTAGGGCAGGAACTAGTGATAGAGCTATATATTTGGTCCTGGGCTTAGAACAGCCTCAGGTATGTGATCTAAATATTATATTTCCTAATGACAAATTTTGGATCTTTCTGTTGGTTTTTTTTTGATGTTTCAGTAATAAATATAATATATAATAATAAATTAATAAATATATTTATTACTAAATAATAAATATACACACTATATTATAAATATACACACTATATTATGTAATAAATGTAATATGTATACAAACTATATATACAGTAATAAATATACATACTATATTATACAGTGATGGAATTTTAGATCTTAAAAGGGACACCTTAGTGTCTAGCCTTTTCATTTTATAAGTCATTTAGATTGTAAATTCTACTGGCAGTAGTAGTTGCTCAGTAAATACTTGTTATGGGTGAACATTGAAGGCCAGAGAGGTTAAAACATTCGTGGCCATACAATCAGTATGGTTAAATCAATCAGTTTAATAAAACTGAAGAGAAAGATGACTCTAAAAAGTGTTACATATTAATAGAATCAGAGTAACACTAATATAAACAACAATTATTGTAGCGCTCAGTAGCCAGTAAGACCATCCAAATCTCTTATGCTATGGCAATAGCTCCAAATTTCTATGTTCACAAGGATTTTGCAGAAAAAAATTTTGATATGATTAGTAATTTTAAAGAAATATGTGCACAAGGCTTAGGAAGTATTCTCTCTAGACCAAGATAATTCTTTAACAATCCAAACCTAGCATGTAACTTAAATATAATTGTGATAATCTTTTCTTGAATTCTTGTCTCTGTTAATGCCAGAAAAATGACTGAACTTTGTTAATGTATTCTAAAACATGAAAAGGAAACACAAAAGGGAAAATCTTTTTTTTTTTTCTCTTTTTTCTTTCTGCAGCAACTGGACAAAATTCCTGCTTTGTGTAAGAAAACTTGGCAGACCTTGAGAATTCTAAATTGCTCTAGATTGTTTTGTCTGTTTTTTTTTAAAGAATTTGAATAGGGATTTTTTTTCTTTCTGAGACAAGTGTTTTTCCTTCCCATCCTCTCACTTAACTCAATTAGAAATCCTACTCTGTATCTTTATATTTTGTGTGATACAGCCAAACTACAAAAAGCTTCTTTGTCTATCACGTTCTTCAACATCGGAGCTGAATATAGGAAATCTGTTCTTCCTTGTGTCTAAGTGAATGGCCCTGAATAAGCCAGAAGACCTGTCTCATTCTTGACTGACAGGTTGCCCTGCACTTCAGATTCTCATTTAGGTTCTTAAGTCTGCTCTTAGCCATGTTTTTTTTCTAGCCTTTAACTCCATCAGCATCATGACCAAGAACTTGACAAGTACCCAGAAGCTCCTAATGGTTAGGTAAGCATTTTTGACTTAATCTACAATAGAACTTGTATTTGATTTGGTTCTTAAATTACCATCAGGTTGATGGTAATTTTTAAATTACAGTAGAATCTGTTCACAGCTTAACAAGGTACAGTAGGAAAAGCAGAATTGGACTTTCCTAGGGCCTCCCCTGGTGGCGCAGTGGTTGACCACTGGGCTGCGAAGATGCCCACAGCCTCTGCAGCGCTGGTTCGATCCCTGGTCACCGGCGAGGGTCCCACATGGAGCGCAGACCTCTCCTGCCGCATCCGCTGCTCCCCTCAGCAGTGTACTTCGTCGGTCTGCCTGTTGTGTTCCCCACTCTGGTGAATTCTCTCACCCTCTTGTGCTTCTGACTGTACCCAGTGCTTGTATAAATAAATAATCTTTTAAAAAAAAAATTGGACTTTCCTAGTTCTCTAAAGAGCATGTGAACATTCTTCCCAAGTGAGAAGAAATCTCACATGATTGATGATGGTTGGCATGTTGAGAGTTGGGTGTGGTAACCTTCAGCTTGGAGACTGACAGTTTTTTATACCTATGGTGCCCTCTGCCTAAACTATGCCTTGCCCTTGGACTTGGCTCTGTGCTTGCTCTGATTAACCTGTAGTGTTCCATGCCTATTTTGGTTTATAGGGCACAAACTGGCCCTAATAGTCACCTGTCCTATTTTCTTAGAGAAATTATCATCCATATCTTGCCAGTGTAATCTCAAGATTACAAAGATTATGCATTTGATTTTTTTTTAAATGATATTCTTTTTTTTTTAATGTTATTTTTTTTATAGAGGCATGTTTTATTATTTATCTATCTATCTATTTATTTATTTGTTCGTTTGTTTTGTTTATACTCTTTTTTTTTTAAAGATTTATTTATTTATACAAGCACTGGGTACAGTCAGAAGCGTGGGAGGGTGAGAGAATTCACCAGAGCCAGAGCGGGGAGCAGAGCAGGCAGAAGGACCGAAGTACACTGCTGAGGGGAGCAGCAGGCGGCAGGAGAGGTCTGCGCGCCATGTGGGACCCTCCTGTGGTGGCCAGGGAGCAGCCAGGGATCGAACCAGCGTTGCAGAGGCTGCGGCCAACTTCGCAACCCTGCACTCAACCGCTGCGCCACCGGGGAGGCCCATGCATTTGATTTTTTAAGTGTGGGTAGTGATGGAGCATTTTTGAGACATCTAGCTGAAACTAGAACCAATGTGAAAGTGCAAGGAAGTCCATTTCAGCTTAAGATAAGTAGAGCTGTTTGAAAACATTGTGTATTGCCCTCAGATGTTTAGTTCTTTACTCAGTGGCATTCAACAGAAACTGGATAAGTAATTGTAGCGATACCGTGTGGGTATGGTAGATAGTGAATTGACATGAGATTTTGATTCAAGTGTAAATGTCCAGTAGTTAAAAAATCCTTACGGCTTTTTTTGTCCCTTATTTCCTATATTACTATTGTGTTTTGTGTCTGGTTGATTTTTTTGGTAATGAATTGTTTAAATTACTTTCTCATTGTGTTTGGTATATATTTTATACTTACTTTCTTTGTGGCTACCATGGGGATTACAGTTAACACCCTAAACTTTAAACACTTAAGGTTATACCAACCTAAGTTCAAGATGCTAAAATAGCTCCTTTACAGGTCTGTCCCTACCCCTTTTGGTTGTTGCTATCACAAAATTACATCTTTATTGATCTTTTTGTCCCAAAACCAAACTAACAACTTTTCTAAAATACATCAGTCTCTTAAGTGCATTAGCTTTCTTAATTTTATAGAAAACAAGATTTAGAGTTACAAGCCAAAGTTATGGTATTACTAGTTTTTATAATAATTGTTCTTTTCCTTTAAGTGTCTCTAAAATTATAGAAAACAAAGTACAGGGACAAACAATTATTTCAATAACACTACCTTTTATAATTGCCTCTATATTTACCATTATTGAGATAATTGTTTATCCTTATGACTTTGAGTTACTATCAGGTGCTTTTCACCTTGCCCAGAGTCCCTTGAGCTTCTCTTGCTGGACAGGTGTGGTGATCATGAACTTCGTCCGCTTTCATTTATTTGGGAATGTCTTAATTTCTCCCTTACTCTTGAAGGACAGTTTGGTCAGGTAGAGGATTCTTAGCTGATCGTTTTTTCCTTTGATCACATTGAATGTATCTGTCCACTGCCTTCTGACTCTAGAGTTTGTGGAGGAAACTATAGGTTATCTTACTGAAGATACCTTGTATGTGAGGATTCGCTTTTCACTTATCTTGCTTTCAGGATTTACTTTTTGTCTTTTGAATGTTAGGTTTTTAATGTGTCTCAGTGTGAGTCTCTTTGAATTCATATTACTTGGTTTTGTTGAGCTTCATGGATGTTTATATTCATGGCTCTATACTTTCTGTTGTTCTATCTTCAGATTTACTGGCCTACCTTCTGCATTTGAATCCCTCTAGTGATTTTTAAATTTCAGTTATTATACTTTTCCAGATTTTCTTCTTGGTTCTTTATATGATTTCTTTTGATGGTTCAAATTTGTTCATACATTGTTTTCTTGACCTTCACATTCTCTTTAGCTCTTTGAGTATCTCTAAGACAGAAGTTTTAAAGTCTTTGTCTAGTGTATCTGCCATTAGGTTTCCTTTAGGGACAGTTTTCATATTTATTCTTTGCCTTTGAATGGTCCGTACTTTACTGTTAATTTGCATGCCTTGTGATCATTTTTTTTTTTTTTTTTTGACTATTGAACATTTGAACCTAGTAATATGGCATCTTTGGAAATCAGATTGTTCTCCTTCCTCAGGGCTTGCTTTTTTTGTTATTATTATTTATTATTTACTGTTTTCATCTTCATTGTTAGTTGCTATAGGCTGTTTTGGTGCCGAAGATCTTAGCATTTTCTGAGACCTTCTCTGAGACTTCCCCTGGGTATGCACAATCACTTTCTAATTTTTTTCCCACATTTTCATTTATTGTCTGTTTTGTTCTTTTTATGTCTGACTCCTGAAAAAGGATAAAGTGGGAAAATTCAGGGGAAAGTAAAGGATTTTAGCCTCTTAAATTCCTTGGAAGTCGCTGCAGCCAGAAGGGGAGGAGTTTACAACAGTAGCGGGAGGTACAACAACAGATGCTTCTGTGTCTTCCTGTCACTCACCCTTAGGCACTTCCTGTTCACATGGATACCTTGGACTTCTTTGTATGGTGACTGGTTTGCAAGAGGGTGAAAGATGTCACACTCCTTAGGGTTAGGCCCAAACTGGCATAGCAGTCACTTCTGCAAATTCTGTTGATCAAAACAAATATTTAGGTCAGCTCAGGTTCAGGTAGAGAGGAAATAGAGTCTGCCTCTTCATGGGGGAGCAGTCATACCCTTATAGGGGTAGGAAGAATTGTTGATAGCTGTATTTGCAGATAATCTTTGCAAATAATATACAGCAGGTATCTCCACAGTCATTTTTATCGACACACTCAGAACAAGTGTCTTATAGTGGAGTTCAAATTGAATGAGATGTTGTCCAGTGTCTTCCACATCTCCCCTATTAGAATGTGTGCTCCCTGAGGGGCAGGGGCTTTATCTGTTTAGTTCATTGCTTTATTCCCATGCCCAAGAACAATGCTTAGCTTGTGACAGAGATTTAGTAAACATTGAAGGAAGGGCTGTTGAAATGGTGAGAGTAATAGCAGAAGGATTGGTATAGAACAGGTTAATCAGAGAAGGCTTCAGAAAAAACATGAATCTGAAACAATAGCTTGAAAATTATAAATATGAGTATTGTCTCAAAGGTAGGTAGGCATTTATTCTACTATTCAATTAATACTGAGTGCCTGCTGATGGCCAGATTCTGGAGAGTCAAAGATAAGAGACCTTACCTGAGGAAAAGGACCTAAACATTTCAGTGTATGAGAGAAAAGTGAGTGAGAGAAGATACTTCTTGGGATGATAGGGGACAACTCATTGTTAGCATACAGATGGGATTGTGTAAAGAAAGTATGACCAAAAGGGGGTAAAAACGTGAACTAAAGAAAGCACTAGAAAAAGGGGTGTGTGTGTGTGTATAAATTAATGAGAAAGTTAGAGTCTTAAAAGTAAGGTGCAGGATCTATTGCTGGATAAATGATAGGTAGCTCCTTCTATAAGTCCTTAAACATGAATAATATTGTGAAAGTAAATTTCAGAGTTTCTAGCTACTTGGAGCAAATTTTTTTATATCAATAACAAGAAGAGTCAATAGAAGGATGTTTATTTTTAGGATTCATGAGTTTATAAATGGTGACTATATCTTTAGAAGTTTACAAAGATTATTGCCATGTACATCTTACGGGATGAAAAGCAAAGCACAAGTATTACTATATAGTAGCACTTTTCTCCCTCCTACCCAGGAAAGTTATATCAGCCTAGATTATGGAGAATGAATCAGAAGAGGGAGGTTTTTACTCTATAAGGAGACTTGGAGTGAGAGGATGAGCCATATTATTTGGGGCAGAATTGGAGGAAGAAATTTGTGACTATGTCCTCAGACATGGGACTTCATGGCCTGGCAATAAATAAGAACACTTGTAGATACTGGTGCCCTGAGTTGTCCTGTTCTCATAAGTAGGCTCTGTATGAAGCTGCTGGTTTTTTTTATTTTTGTTTAATCTTTTGTTTTGTTGGGACAGGGTATTGACAGCCTTGCTATATCACTGTGCCAAACTAGCATTAAAATGGCCCAGTATGTTATAGAAATTAGCTTCTTTGGCTTGTACATTGTCATGCTTTACAATTGCACAACATGTGTGGGGCAGTTATTATTTTCCTTAAAATCAGAGGACGCCAAAGCCCACTGGCTTCTCCATAAGCCCTTAACTGAAGGCCTGAGCTATGGCAGTAAATGGTAAACAGTTTTGGAGACCAGTTGTGAAGAAACTGTGTATACTGGATTATTTGATTTAGAAAAATGAAAAGGGGCCCATATACTTAGTATAAGCAGTGGTTTCAACCCTTTTGCACTGAAATCTATGAATGTTCTCAGGTCTAAGTGAAAGTGACACATAATCTGTGGAAGTGCTTTCTTTTGATCATGAAGGAATCCTCTGGGGGCAGTTCTCTAAGAAGTTTGTTTATATAGACTTCTGAAATTTTGAAATTTAAAAATATAGCTGGACCATTACCCAAGAAGAATGCACATATGCATACACAGACAGTTTGGCATGTAGTTTTAGGCATACAACTTCAGGGGCTATCTAGGTTCTGCAGCCTACCCAAAGCTCCAGTGAATTCAGCTTTTACTTGCTAGCTTCACCAAAGTTGCTTAAATGAGTTGAAATTCTCTTCTTTCTTAAAATTTTCCATTTTGGGGTTCAGGGGCAGTTGTCATAACTATACCTAAAAATAGCATACCTAAGAAACCCAAGTAATCACTCCATCCATAATTAGAGACAAGATTCTTGAGTCCAGTTTTGAAACTGTTATAGTGCTTTGACCCATAGGATTGTTCTCAAGGAAATGAGATTTCAGTGACTTAAAAGGTCAACTTATTCTTCCCTCTCAGATGCACCAGGAGTCTCCTGTGAATGGCTTCTTTCAATGGAGATGATTTGATTCCTAAAAATTTAAGCATACTAGGGGTTCTGGGAAGATTTGGAATAAGCGATACCCTATAGTAACCCTGGTTGTCAGTTAAATCAGGTACAGTTCATTTTGTTGTTGTTCTCTTGATTTTTTAAAACACTGGACAGGTCCAATTTTAATTTTGAATATTAAGTTCCATTAGGTAGAGAGTAGTAAGTTTAATTGTCCATTCTACTGGTGACTTCTGCCTATGTAGATAAGCAGACTACCGTTGCTAAAGCCCTGGCAAAATGTCAGGATGAGCACAGGAACCTTGCATTATCTTTTCGGCCATCTTGAACTGTTCCTGAACAAAATGATTCTGTGAGTCACTTTTTTCCCCCCGAAAAATGTAGCTGTATTTTTCTTTTCTTTTTTCAAGGCTATTCTTTATATGTTAGGGGAAAAAACACTGCTTTTTATGAGTTATCAATTTAAGTACACTAATATTGAAATGCTTAAAGAGACCTTGTTTTTTTTAAGATTTATTTTTATTTATGCATATAAGAACTGGTGTGTAAGCCAGAAGTGCAGGGGCTGAGCGGATTCACTAGAGACAGTGGGAAGCAGAACAGGCAGATCCACTGAAATACACTGCTGAAGGGAGTAATGGGCAAGGCAGGAGAGGTCGAGCTCCCTGGCCAGGGATTGAACTCATGCTGTAATGGCTGGCGATAGCTTGATCGTGCTGAGACTTTAATCCCTGTGCCATCGGGGACGCCACCTTGGGTGGTGGTGGTGGTGGTTGTTGTTTTAACATCATCTTCGCTCATTAAACTGTAAGGCTCCTTGTTCATTTCAGGTAATAGTGATTGTATAGACAGTATCATTTAATAAGTTTTAACAGTTCCTTTCATGTCCATTAAGCTTTCGAGTAGACATGGCACAAGGCCTATTAAGAGGGTAAGGATAGAACAAGCCAAATTCCTAATCTAGAACATTCCTTACTGATCCTTTATATGGATTTTGTAAGGGGCTGGGGATGCTCTTTAGTTAAGCTTGATACTTTTTTTTTATGCCTTTCCCCCTTTTTGATTTGTGAGGTATGAAGGGAGCATGTTTATCCCTTCCTTAATTAGCAGAACCTTGTGTGGTTGAGGGGGCATAACTTTAAAGATCTTCACAAAACTTTACCTTCTTTTTTTTTGTTCTGTCCCCTGATCTAAATGGAGAACTTTCATTGTAATTGGAGAATAAGATGAAATACCTCTCTTCAAGATTAAGACCCGAATTTTAAAATTTTCATTGTATAAGCAAAGTGAGGATTTGAACCTGTTAAATAGTCCAGTAACTGTTACTCTTTGAGGATCGTTCCAACAAACACAGGTTAGGATGTTTTTATAGGTAGGACCAGTGAGTCATTGACAAACACAATTATTTTTTACAAGGTGACTTCTGGTTCTAAGTTGTTTTGATCTAAAGATAAATTGATGTTATTCTAAGTGCAGAAAAAGGCAACTCTAGGGTTTAACATCTCCCACACTAAAGAATGCGCTGTAGAGAGGCAGAGTCCGGGTACCCATTGTTGTACCCACTGTTAAATCATCTTTACAGACTCCTTGGTCATTTTGATGCAGGATGAAAAGATTGGCTTTCCTCTAAGGCATCAGAATTTTCACATCTGTTTCAGACTTCAAGTTAATGCTGATGGCTTTGCTTTCTTGTGTGTGAGGTATTGTCTTCCTGGAATATATTTATGGTGTGTTCACAGGTTCTAGGAAATTTTTAATTTGGGGGAGAGTCTGTTTTATTTTTCTTCCTCATGAAATCCTTTGTAACTCAATATGGATGGAAAAATTAATGGAAGAAAATAAGACACTGATTAAAATGAGCATTTTTATTTCTTTTGGATCACTTGTTTCCTTTTTAAATTGTGGTACATTGTTTCAAGATTTGAACTGTGCCATCTAATTTTCTCCATTACAGTGGCCTCCCTACTTTTTTTTTTGACTTATTTAACTCATCGAATTTCTATTATTTCTTAAATTCCGTTAGGAATAATAAAGCCAAAATAATTTGGAATATTTGAGGGAAGGCCAGTCTAAATTAGTTAAGATCTTACTTAAGTAGCAGTATTTTTCAAGGAATGTTTTTATTTGCATATATACATTGAAAAACTTGAACCACAATATGTTACCTAGTATGCTCCTTAAGGAATTTGCAATTACCAGAGCCTGAGTTTTGCATGTAAATGGATATTTATAAGTGCTTGAGGCTACTTTGAAAGAGTTCTTAATAGTTTAACCAGTAACCCTTAAAGTCTTGGTTTATGATTTTGTTCAGTAAACCTTTTCCCCCCTCATAGATAGGGTAAAGGTACAGTTAGCTCAGCTATATGAATTATTGCATATTAAAAGTAGAATAGAGCTAATTTATTTTGTTAGAGAAAATCTGCAACTTTCTGTCCATACACATGTGCATCTACATGACTGTATACACATTGATAAACATGCATATGTATTATAACCCCAGAGCATAGCATGTACTTGTGGTTAATAGGATATTGTGAAAAGTAACATAACTGGAGACATTTTAAATTAGGATTTTAGCAGTCACTGTAGAAACTTCTTTTCAAACTGGGTCAATCACTAACTATTCCAAGAAGACAACAAGAATGAGAATATACTGTTTGACAGGACTAATAGGGTGAACTTTACCTGCCTGCTGTTCACTTTTGACCCCTCCACCTAAGC